TGTGGTTCTTCTAAAACAACCTTCATTGATATCTAGTTAAAAAAAAAAAAAGTTGACCCTACAAGTTAAGACTGGGCCTCAGTTGCCTTAGTGGCAGTTGAGACCAACTAGTATTGTCCAGTGGAAGGCACCAGAGAAACAGAAGAGTGCTCTCTTCCAAGCATCCTTCCTCCAATGCTCTGAGGAGGAAGCATCTGTGCAGAGCAGGGTGGAGGGAGGAGTTGTAGGGATTTCTATTACCTGGGTGGTCACAGGAAGTTATTTTCCAGAGTTTTGCTGCAGGGCAGCATTGGCTTTGGAGGCTGCACTGATTTTCCTTACATGGATCTGTCCTGCTTGCTGCAAGAAAGTTCGCATCCCTGATGCTTGCCCACCAAGCTGCCCCGTAGGGGACAAAGGTACCCCCAATTGGGAACCATTGCTAGTCCATCCCTTCTTTTTTTCCTTTCTTTTCTTTTCTTCTTCTTTGAGACAGAGTTTTACTCTTGTTGCCCAAGCAGGAGTGCAATGGTGTGATTTCGGCTCACTGCCATCTCCACCTCCCAGGTTCGAGTGATTCTCCTGCCTCAGCCTCCTGAGTAGCTGGGATTACAGACACCTGCCACCACACCTGGCTAATTTTTCTTTCTTTTTTTTTTTTTTTTTTTTTGTATTTTTATTAGAGATGGGGTTTCACTATGTTGGCCAGGCTTGTCTCAAACTCCTGACCTCAGCTAATCCACCTGCGTAGGCCTCCCAAAATGCTGGGATTACAGGCATGAGCCACCGCATCCGGCCCTATCCCTTCGTTTTACAGTTGAAGAGAAATTCCGAAGAGCTCAGTGACTTCACCCTTGCTCTGATAAGAAAGCAGGAATTAGGTTCAAGTCTTCTGATTCCACTGAGATGCCACAGAAAACACAAGAACTCCTTATTTCCATTTTATCTCCTCTAAAATTCTGTGAGATTTTATACTGTACATAATATATTAGTACAGCAGCATATGTATAATTTATAAATACACATATATTGGTGCATGTTCAAATATTTTTTAACTGATGGCATGCACGATCAAAGAGTGTAAAGACCACAACCCTAAATACCCTTTTCTAACTCTAAAAAAATTACTAGATTGCCCTGATTTGTTTTACTATTTTATTTTCCAGGAGGAAACCTACAGGATAGTCTTTAAAGAAAAAGATAAGGTGTGCTTGAAATGGTACCAAATTGGAAGCCTCTAGAAGGCAGATTATCAAACAATGCAGCCCAACTCCACATTATCAGCTGGAGTATTTTGGTTATTTTATCAGTTAAATCAGATTAACTGTCTGTCAGCCCACTGCCAGGTTTGGCATTGAATGCAGAAAACCAAATCTACCGTTTTAAGGTCATTGGTCCTATCTTACTGAAAACACAATCTGGAATTGTGAGAGAAAACAAGGGAGTGAGAAAAGAGGAGGTAAAAGAAGGGCAGTTACCTCCAGAGAGGTGCTCACTACTTAAATATTTTCTCTCCTTTTCAATCTGTTTCACCTACTCTTGATCCAGAGCTTAAATTACTTCAACCTTCAGAGAGGTTCCCCTTAACCCTACTCTGCTGTGTGAGATGAAGGGATAAATGCAAGGATAAAAGTGGAGTCCTTCTAAATGATTAAAAATTCACCTGTAGGTTCAGCTGTCTGTGCTTACACTAGAACTAGGTGCTCTCCGTGGAGCCTTAATCAGCATGAGAAAGATGCAGGAAAATCAGCCTTTTGATGAAAAGAGATCCCCTGAAACCTGGGTTGGGACAGGAGTTTAACTTTTCTAAATACACTTATAAAAATTGCCTGATGATCAGGCTGTCCCTGGAGAGAGGGAATAACAGAAGCAACGTGAAGAGTAGAAGAAAACTGGCTGGCTAAAACAAATCTGGACAGTACCTGCCCCTTCTGCTATGCACAGGCAAGGGCAGCAAACACACATCTTTGCAACGTGAATCATACTGGCCACTTACTAAGCTCTTCTTCTGTGCCAGGTATCGTGCTGAAGGTTCTATAATCATGACCTTATAACTCACATATTTATCTGTAGAATGATATTATACACTACAGAGGTTCTAAAACTTGCTCTGTTCTTGCCACCCTTAGTGTGCCAGTAATGTTTACAGCATCTCTATGCCAAAAGAAATGCCTAACTGTTCCATTTATTAAGTAGTTATATCCAAACAACTTGGTAATAGTAGTTGGTAAGGTTTGGCTCTGTCTGTGTCTCCAACCAAATCCAATCCTTAAATTATAATAATCCCCAAGCATCAAGGGTGGGACCAGGCGGAGGTAATTGAATCACGGACGTGGTTTCCCCCATGCTGTGCTCATGCTAGTGAGTTCTCACAAGGTCTGATGATTTTACAAGCGGCATCCACTTCGCTCAGCATACATTCCCTCTCCTGCCACGCTGTGAAGAGGTGCCTTCCGCCATGATTGTATGTCTCCTGAGGCCCCCCCAGCCGTATGGAACTGTGAGTCAATTAAGCCTCTTTTCTTTACAAATTACCCAGTTTCAGATCTGTTTTTATTAGCAGCGTGAGAACAGGCTAATACAGTAGTTCACACAGGTGGTGCTGTTTTCCTCAAAAATGTGAAATATTCCACCACACCCCTGTGAGCCTGTTGCGGGAGCCCTGGAGCACGCTGGCACACAGTTTGTGAACCACAGACACACTATGACATAGATATCTTTGGGATCCCTGTTATGTCAATGAGGAAACTGAGACCCAGTAAGGTCAAGCAGCTGGTTTGATGAAATGTAAAAATCTGAACACAAGTCATCCGAATCCAGAATCCATGCTGCTGTATCAGTCTCCTCCTGCCCCCTTGCTGAATCACTGCCTTTATGTCTAGTCATTATTTCCTCTTTTCATCTGTATAAACAGAGAATAATCTGCAACTCTCCCCACCCCCTACACACACACACACACACACACACACACACACACACAGGCATGTCTGCACCCACTGATGCTCATTCATTCCCTGGGCTCAAACCATTCCAACTGGGATGTCCCTCCCTTGAGTCTGATTTTCCAGAAAGTTCCTGCTTTAGTCCTCAGTCCCAACTTTCACCTCCTGACCACTTGTTCCCACACTCACCTCTCCCTCTTCAAACAGTAAGCAGCATGTTAATGACATGTCTATTAAGAGGTCTACTAAGCAGCATGTTAATGACATCTGATCTTACGTTGTTCCCTAATTGTTTTAAGTGTGTGGATGTGGTTTTCAGAAGACTGAAAGCTGCCCCCAAACAGGGACTGTGTGTTGTCTTGTGCTGGGCATAGAGTAGCCCCAATGCAAATTTGTCAAAATCAGCAAGATGATCAAATGCAGAAATTGATAGCATACTCTAATGCCTAGATGTAGATAGTAGAGACAATATATTTAAGTCATTGGGAAGGATAACTAACATCCATGTGGCTTTTATTTGGTCCTCACAAGAGTATGATTATTACACCCCTTTCATGGAAACAAAAGTTGAAATTTAGACAGGTTAAGTGACTCTGACCAACGTTACCCAACCTGTGAATGGAAAAACAGGCCTAAAAGTCCAGGGTGTTGGTCTCCCTCCCAGCCCTGTTTTAGGTTTATACAGCAGTGACCTTCAGAGAGATGCCAATTTTCAGCCCACGTTCTGTGATGGGCAGGATGTCAATTTCAGAGGCAGTGTCTAGACTCAAAGGTACTGTCACCCTTGATACCTGGACTGTCTTCGAAGCCAAGCAGTGAGCCCTGCAGGACACCAGGCTGGGGTGGCTGGGGACACTGCTAGAAGCAATCAGGGTCCTTGGTGAAGTCAGGGAGCTTATTGAAAGTTCCAACCCATCTCCCTTTCTTAAGACGGAGTAAACTATAGAGGCTGGGGTTGACAGCTTCTGCGGCCAATGCTGGGTGCTTAAGCAAAAGTCTATTTTGACCTTAAAAACATGTCGTACAAAATAAAAGCAAGCTGGAAATATGCATCTATTCCTTCTGAATCATGAGAGCTTTGGTAGAACCAGCAAGGGCAGGGGCTCAGAGGTCAGTCAGCTCCGAGTTTACAGCTGATGCTGTTACTCACTAATGTATGATTTAAGGAAAGTTACTTCACCTCTCCGAGTCTCAGCGTCCTTGTCAGTAAAATGAGGTCATAGGATAGTTGTGAAGATTAAATGGCAAAACAAATGTAAAGCAAAGGGTGGTGGCTGCCAGGTAACAAACACTCAGTAAGTGATAGTTCCTCATCACAGATGACAGACAGGTGCTGCAGCCAGAAGGCATGGATGAAATAGGAGTTAGCACCAGCACCAGCACCAGCACCACCCCCACTAGAACAGTGTTATGGGGGGACTGGTGCTAACTCCTTGTAGAGCAATTCAAAACACTCTAGCCTGGAGTAGTAGCAGAATGAGGAAGGAGGAGGGGAGTAAAAGAAAGGAAGATACAAGACTCCTAAGGCAAAAAATTCACCCAGAGAAACCCTGATGAGAAACAGAAACGAAATAGATGAGGAGCCAATAATTTGTTAGTAGAAGGACAGGGTGCTGGGCTTGAAAAAATAAATAAATAAACAACTTGGAACATTTAAATATACATTTCAAATTGCATCCTCTTCTTCTGCTTTGTGTTTTCAGGCAGCTTGGAAGATATAAATGTGTGATATTTATGTATAAAGTTTTATTGGGATTAAAAAAAATAGAACTGAACTTTATGAAGAAAAGAAGGGAAAAACCAGCTGTAGGGTGGCAGGTTTCTTGTATGATAAAATGGGGTTGAGTCTTGGATGGAAGCATTTACACCAGGATTCTTTTGTCAGATGCCTGTCTTTCCAGAGACGTAGAAGGCATGGCTCAGAGGAAATGCACATGGAGGATATCTGGAAATCCTAAAGGACTATTACAAGTGTTAGTTATTATTAATACATGTATAGTAGCACACCCACCAAATCAGCAATCTGCCTGAATATCGCCCATGTGCCTTTGAGGGGACTGTCAGGATGGAGAGACTCACCGTGGTCGGGATGTCCCGGCTGAGGGGCACGCTGTGTGACTGCTCCTGCAGGTATTTATCTGCTCCAACCTCGGAGTAAAAAACCTTGAAAAGATGTAGACACCCTGGTGAGAGCAGAGCCCATGCTTGTGTAAGATCAAGGGTTGTAATTGCACTCACAGTGGCAGCGGGCTCTGAGGTGTGTCGCCTTACATCAAGTGCACTAGTTCTGCGGGAACACACACGAGACCTACTTGGGTTGGGGCGGGAGTGGTGGGATGGTGTTACAAACTCAGAAGCCTGTGGAGTCCAGGAGGAAGACATATAGTAATGAAGTGAGATGCAGAGGTCTGGATGTGGCTCCTGTTATTTTTCCCAAAATGCATGAGCCTCCCAGGTAATCTTTCATTTTCTCACTTTCAATAAGACATGAGTCTAGAAATATATTTCTCTACTTTTAGAAAACAGTTAAGACGGGCTGGGCTCATGCCTGTAATCCCAGCACTTTGGGAGGCTGAGTTGGGTGGATCACGAGGTCAGGAGTTCAAGACCAGCTTTACCAACTTGGTGAAACCCTGTCTCTACTAAAAATACAAAAATTAGCTGGGCATGGTGGCAGGCACCTGTAATCCCAGCTACTCAGGGGGCTGAGGCAGGAGAATCACTTGAACCAGGAGGCAGAGGTTGCAGTGAGCCAAGATCATGCCACTGCACTCCAGCCTGGATGACAGAGCAAGACTTTGTCTCAAAAAAAAAAAGAAAGAAAGAAAGAAAGAAAAGAAAACAATTGGATAAAGATCGTGATCAATGGCTACTGAAAAGGAGACAGCAGCAGGTGGTGGGATTAGGGTGTTACTGGGGTCTTACATCTCATCTAAAATGAGCAGCTCAATTCCAGCAGGCTTGGTGCCTTATGGGAACGTGGACTGAATGTGGCCAGCTCCCCACATGTCCCAGAGAGTTTACAACTCCAGATATTTATGTGAAATGTCTTGACTTCGAAGTTATTCAAAGAAAACATTTTGGTGAAATGAAGTCAGCCCAATTTGTAGCCGCTGACAGATAAGAATGCACTCTCTGCTGATTCTTTCACTTTGCCTATCCACCTTCTTACTTTAACTCAGATTTTACATTATTTGGTACTTATTGACAACATTCCACAGTGATTTCCTGTTTCCCATGTTCATGCTTTATTCTCCAGATTGTACTATTGACAACTGAATAGCAAGAACCATGTCTTTTTAGTTTATATTTTCTCACAGCTGGACAGAGAAAGGACTGGATAGATCCTAAATGAGTAATGCAGATGTGATGTGACACTTGGAGCATTTACAAATGCCCTTCAAAGGGGGACATTTCTTCTAGCTTATGGAGAGAGAATGGGGCTGTTATTGATACAGAAGAACAGATATCTAGAAAGAGCAAGGATGAGAAAGACATACAGTCACACAACACACCCACTGAGGAAACTCCCGTGCCATTGTACTCACAGTGTACCCAAGGATGGGGCTCCCAGGATGCCTTGGCATTTTCCACTGGATGCTGAAAGCCGTACAGTTCAATGCGCCCAGCTTGATGTCAATAGGCGGCCCTACCTTCCCTGCCCCCAAACAAAATAGATTGTGTTAGCACATCCCACCTTGAGTATACTTACACAAGATTTAAGAGTGCATTCTCTGACAGATGAAAAGCACACTTAAAGATAATTTCAGAAACGAAGTCGATCTCTAATCTACCACACCTGTCTCAGCTGACCTCACCCACTTTGCTATCCTCTCCCAACCTGGCATTAGTAGATAAATCAGCCCAACTATGACCCTCGTTCTCTTGGGTAACTTCTAATAGGTCAGGGACCAGCAAAGGAGGATTCAGGGTAGCACAGACCACAGACACTTCTGACTCGACTCTGAAAGTTTAACATGTACTAAAGTAAGATGACAGACACATTTTTCTTTACTGAATAGCATATATGTTTTATCTGTACATTATATAGAAGTGTTTGCTTATACAGTTAGGATATACCCTATGGTGGGACATTTCAAAAATATAGTTATGTATAAAATGAAGTTTAAATTTTTCAAATGTTTCACTATGTATCTTAAGTAACTTCATAGTTACAGATAGTAAGATTTATAATTATAAGATAACATATACAGGTTGCCACAATTTAGAAAATATAAAAAATTATATCTAATTCTAACATTCAGAAATGAGTCCTATTAGCATTGTGTTATATCTCCTGCTGGTTATGTGCAATTTAAAAAAATTGTTTCTCTCTCTTTCTCTCTCTCTCTCTCTCTCTCTCTCTCTCTCTCTGTGTGTGTGTGTGTGTGTGTGTGTGTGTGTATGTGTGTGTGTGTGTGTTTCTATACAGTTGACATCCCTTATCTGAAATGCTTGGGACCAGAAGTGTTTCAGATTTCAGATTTTATTGGGTTTTGGAATATTTGCAATATACTTAGCTGTTGAGCATCTCAAATCCAAAATGCTACAATGGGCATTTCCCTTGAGCATCATATTGGTGCTTCAAAAATAGGATTTTGGAGCGTTTAGGGTATCAGAGTTTTGGATTTTGGATGCTCAACTTTGTGTGTGTCTGTGTTTATGTAATTTTTAAATTGTTTTTGTTATATATAGTGATTATCTATAAATACATGTATGTTAATGATTTTAAGTCTTATCTCAGTGTGTGTGTGTATATATATATATATATATATATATATATATATATACACATAGAGAGAGAGAGTACAAATAGCATATTTACAATTATTAAAATCATTATTTTTAAGGCTGTAAATTTTCCCATATAACACATGTTCCATAATAAACAGCATTTGCCATCCCACTATTGTTAGGCAATTTACTTCCAATATTTTGTGATCTTAAATAATGCTCCATGAGGACAGAGAGTAGGTCTATTTTCTTCAGATTACAGAAACTAATAATAGTAAGAGCAAAATAAATATTCTTTAAGTGAATGAACATTCTGCAACTTGATTTTCCTCTTACTAATATATCGTGGTGAGCTTTCTTTTTAACCACTGCATATAATTCTCCAGCATATCCTTTAGGATCCTTGTAATTCACAGAGATCTAATGTATTTATTTAATGCACTGCTGCTGGGGCTTGTCATCAGTGTTTTTAATAACAGAACCCAAAGTTTTTCTGGTGGATTGAGTAATAGAAACCCAGTGCTGTCAGCAGGAACCATGAGGCCAAGAGTCACCTCCCCTCTACCCCATGTACACCTACGACTGTTACCACTCAGAGATTTAATCCTTAATGATCTCTCTGACTCTGCCATTAAATCTGCTCAAGATTTAATGTCATGGCTCAGTGGCTAGACTTAGGCCATGTGGCTTCCTCTTGGCTCAACCAACAGGCAGGAAAGGAAAGATTAGTCCTTTCTGATTTCTAAACTGGGAAATGACAGGATGAGACAAGTTGAGGGAATTGTTCTACCACCAAGCCCATCCACAGCAAAGAAAGAAACCAGCAGGAGGACAGGATCATAGAAAAAGGTAGTGGGAGGTTGGACAGCCAAAATTCTGCTTTTCAGAGCACGTGTGTACGTTAACTATTGCTCCATTGATTGACACTGAAGTTATTTTCAAAATATCACTGTTAAAAATAACGCTGAAAAGAACATTTGAATATGTGCCTTTTTATGCACATGTGCCAGTGTTTCTAGGATGGATACCTACAAAATTTATCAAGAATATACATTTTCATTTTTACTACCAATGACTTCTTGCTCTCCCCAAAAGAGTAAATGAATAAATCTTTAGGTGCATTCAATTATTTATTTGGATAAATTCTTAAAATTCTTAAAGCAGAGTTCTTGTGTCTAAAACGGTTTTTCAACCTTGATACTGTTGACATTTGGGGCTGCCTCCTTTTTGTAAGGGCTGTTCTTTTGCATCATGGGATGTTGAGCAGCATCCCTGGTCTCTACCCGCTAAATGACAGTAGTATTCTCCAATCCCATGTGAAAACTCAGAACATCTCCACACATTGCCAAATGTTCCCCAAGGGGCAAAATTGTTCCCCACTGAGAAACATTGATTTAAGAGAATGAATATTTTAAAGATTTCTAATAAATATCATCAAACTTACATTTAGAAAATTAACTAATTTAGAAGTTTATAATGGTGCATGAGATGCATAAGTAACAGTATAAAGTAACACAGCCCCACCAGGTCTTAGTACTGCCACTTTTTAAAGAACTTTTGCTCAGAGAATGAAAAAAAAAAAAATATATATATATATATATATATAAAGCCACAGACCAGGAGAAAATATTTGCAAAAGAAATATCTGATAAAGGTCTGTTATCCAAAATATACAAAAGCTATAGACAAAACGTGTGTTCTTCCAAAATTCATATGTTAAACCCTAATTCCCAGTGTAATAGTATTTGGAGATGCGGCCTTTGGGAACTGATTAGGTCATGAGGGTAGAGCCCTCATGAATAGGATTAGTTACCTTGTGAAATAATATCCTAGAGAGCTCCCCCTCCCCTTCTGCTATGTGAAGACACAGCAAGAAGACAGCTCTCTATGAACCAGGAAGTGAGCCTTCACCAGACACCAAAATCTGTTGATGCCTTGATCTTAGACTTGTCTGCCTCCAGAACTGTGAAAAATAAATTTCTGTTGTTTATAAGCCACCCAATCTATAGTATTTTGTTATAGCAGCTGAACAAACTAGGATAATGCAGAACTCTTAAAACTCAACAGGCCAGGTGCAGTGGCTCATGCCTGTAATCTCAGCACTTTGGGAGGCTGAGGCAGGTGGGTCACTTCAGGTCAGAAGTTTGAGACAAGTCTAGCCAACATGGCGAAACCCTGTCTCTACTAAAAATACAAAAATTAGCTAGGCATGGTGGTGGGCACCTGTAATCTCAGCTACTTGGGAGGCTGAGGCAGGAGAATCGCTGGAACTTAGGAGGCAGAGGTTGCAATGAGCCAAGAATGTTCCATTACACTCTAGCCTGGGCAACAAGAGTCAAACTCCATCTCAAAAACAACAACAACAAACCTCAACAATAAAAATAAACAACCTGAGTGAAAAATAGGCCAAAAGATTTCATTACAAAGACATCAAAAGCAATTTCTACAAAAGCAAAAATTGATGAATGAAATCTAATTAAACTTAAGAGCATCTGCACAGCAAAAGAAACTCTCAACAGAGTAGACAGACAATCCACAGAGTGGGAGGAAATATTTGCAAACTATGCATCTGACAAAAGTCTAATATCCACAATCTATGAGGAACTTAAATTTACCAGAGTAAAACAACTACATTAAAAAGTGGACAAAGAACATGAACAGACACCTTAAAAGAAGGCATACATGCAGCCAACAAGCATATGAAGAAAAGCTCAACATCACTGATCATTAGAAAAATGTAAATCAAAACCATGATGAGATACCATCTCACACCAGTCAGAATGGCTATTACTAAAAAGTCAAAAAAATAACAGATGCTGGCAAGATTGTGGAGAAAAGGCAACTTTTATGCACTGTCGGTAGGAGTATAAATTAGCTTGTGGAAAGCAGTATGGCAATTCCTCAAAGAGCTAAAAGCAGAACTACCATTCAATCCAGCAATCCCATTACTGGGTATGTACCCAGAGGAATACAAAGCATTCTACCATAAAGACACATGCATGCAAATGTTCATGGCAGCACTGTTTGCAATAGCAAAGACATGGAATCAACCTAAATGCCCACCAATGACAGACTGGATAAAGAAAATGTGGTACAGAAGCACCATGGAATATAATGCAGCCATCGAAAGAATGAGACCCTGTCTTTTGTGGGAACATGAATGGAGCTGGAGGCTATCGTCCTTAGTAAACTAATGCAAGAACAGAAAACCAGCTACCCCATGTTCTCACTTACAAGTGACAGCTGAAAAATAAGAACTTAAGAACACAAAGAAGGAAACAACAGACACTGGGGTCTACTTGATGGGGGATAGTGGGTGGAGGGAGAGGAACAGAAAATATAACTTTTCTGGGTACTGTGCTTAATACCTGCGTGAGGTAATAATATGTACAACCAACTCCCATGATATGTATTTACCTATGTAACAAACCTTCACATATACCCCAAACCTAAAATAAAAATTAAAAAAAGGAAAGAAACCAAAAATAGAAAAATGGACCAAGACCTTAGCAGACACCTCACCAAAAAAGATACAATGACAGCAAGTAAGCATATAAAAACACGCTCCACATCATACGTCATCAGGGAGATGCAAATCGTAACACCAATGCGATACCATCCCCAAATGCCTATTAGAATGGCCAAAATCCAGAACACTGACAACATGGAATTTTGGCAAGGATTTGGTGCAACAGGGCTCTCATTCATCACTGGTGGGAATGCAAAATGGGACAGCCCCTTTGGAAGGCAGTTTGGCAGTTTCTTACAAAACCAAACATACTCATCATACCACTCACATGTGCACTCTGTGGTATCTGCCTAAAGGAGTCAAAAACTTACATCCACACAAAAACCTGCACATGGATATTTATAGCAGCTTTATTCAGAACTGTCAAAACATGGAAGTAAACAAGAAGTTCTTTA